TGTGTATAAATATATAAAAACTCGTAAAATATAACCTAAACCTTCAAACTTTAACTGAAGGTTTTAATCTTAATTGTCTCAATAAGCTTTCTCTGAGAAGTCATAATATTAAAAGTTTGGATAAATAAATAGTTAACAGCAGCTGTAGTGTGACCAAAATTGGTCATAATACCAAGGAGGTAATCGTGTGTGTGTGTGTGCGTGTGTGCGTGTGTGTGTGTGTGTGCGTGTGTGCGTGTGTGTGTGTGTGTGTGTAGGCATGCAGGGGTGGGTGTATGTGCACGAAAGATTGAGCTTTTGATGGTTAAATGGTTTGGTTAGTTAGCCCAGCGTAGTGTAGCGTAGCCTCCTCATCAGTGCCTGTGATTGGAGGCCATCCATCATGTCTGGGGCAGTTTGGAGCAAAGCAGGCAGTTGAACCCTATTCTGCCCCCCCCACCCCAAACACCCACACACACACACACACACACACACACACACACACACACACACACACACACACACACCTCAGCCTACTGCTCTGCATGATGTCACTCACTTTGCCCTATGCTGTGGAACAGACAGCACAACTTGACCTTGGGCAATTTCAACATACTGTTATGTGGGGCGGCATTAACATAGAGCTTTTACAGAGCAGACTCACTACTCAGAGCATATGAGCTCACGTCCAGCCTGATGTACCTCTGTCTGCTATGTTCTGTAATGTTTCTGCTTTCTGTAGTGCTACTGAGTGTGGTTCAGGCCTACAATGGCAGTTTCTGGTCATTATTTCTTCTTCTCCTTCTCCTCCTCCTCCTCCTCCTCCTCCTTCTTGTGTTTACATGCACTTAATAATCCGATAACGGCAGAAAATGAGATTTTCTCAGTAATCCAATCAACGCGTTTATATTCAGCAGTCAGATAGTGGGAAAACTCCAGGTCTACATTAGTCAGGCAGTAATCGGATTTCTGCTTTGCAATCAGCCAATAAACTCACAGAATAAGACATGACGTAAATGTAACATAAACTCTAACTTCATGCCACAGCTTTAAAAAAAAAATAAATCACACCACTTTACCTGAAAATATGAACGTACAGCATCTAGAAGATGAAGATTATTTAAATCCTTCATTTCGTCAAGGATGTTTGTTTCATTGTCGCTCCAAAAGTATTTTGCTGCCATCTCGCGGCAACACTGCTTATTTCTTCCATCTGTTTCGCACATGCACAGACTGAGAAATCCGAAAGAAATCAGAGTAAGAGCTTATATGCGCTGAGAAATCTGTTTATTGAGCTAAAATCCAGCTCTCTTTATAGGATTTCTTAATCGGATTTTTGGATTGGAGTATGCTGTGTACATGACCATTTGAATAATCAAGTAACTGCAGAAATCTGATTATGATTGAATTGTTGCAGGTAAACAAACTCATTGTCATTCACATCATCTTTTGATTGATCTCCCCATTGCTCCACCCAGAAGCTACTTTTTTTAAATCAACTTTGGACAAATTTTACAGATGTTGGCAAAAATTCCATTTAACCAAATGAGAAAATGCATGTTTGGTTTAGATTTGATGCACTAAATTGCCTTTCCAGTTTAAAATGCTAAACTACTGAGCTGGATTGTGTTGTTATAGCTAATCGAGACTAAGCAGGTTGGCAACCATGAATTTACCATCATGCTAACATGACAAAAATCTTATCAACCCCAACAGTGTGAGTTTTCACATTCATAAAAAGTAATTATCTCTGTTAACTAATAACATGCTTATAACACACCTAATTTCTCATTCAGATGTTAGAAATAGTGTTTGCCACTGTTCTGTAAAGGTTGCTTCCATTCGTCAGCAGTGGGCCCCCTCTGTAACACTAATGACATTAGCAGGTGTCGGTGTTGGTGTTTGAGGGACACTTTTACTGAGGCTTATTTGTCCTGCTTCCTCAGCATGTCTGATGTGTTTGTTTGAGTTTGAGGGAGGCTGTGTTGAGCACTGTTTATTTGACTTTTTGCCCTGGTGTTTGTATGTTAGTATAGTAGAGTGATGGAGGCCATTAGAGGCTTTGGCTCACTGGATCTGAAGGGCAAAGTAAGGGCACAAAAGGCCAGGAGGAAGCACTCTGTCCTGCTGAACAGCACTAACTGAAATGGCATAGGGAGCAAACTCTGTGATGTTTAGATGGATATTGGTAATTTAGGCTGCACAACATGGACTAAATGTCAGATTGTGACTCTGTTAAAACGTTTTGCAGTTGCAGTACATTAAAAAAGCAATAATGTGCCCTTTTTTAGCGTAACACAGTGAAAGATTGTCCTGCATCATTTCAACCAGAATTATTAGCATTTATTGAATCGTGTGGATGTCTTCATTTGTCAAACACACACAGAACTCTCATCAAGGAATGTCTTTGATTGGTCAGACAGTAGACAACTGTTGTGATTGATAAGAGACTCATTTGCATATTGCAGCCCTCTGTGAGAATCACTATTGCAAAGCCAAAATGACAATTAACAAACAATACATTCAGATTAGAATAAAGTATCTCACACTATTTTAAAAGGGATGCTCTCGGTGTCTGAATCGGCAACAACAAAGAACATAAATTTTTACCCTTAACTTCCAACAATAAAACAAAGCCAGAGTACATATTTCTCTTGTTCTCTGTCTCTGTTTCCCTTTTCCCTCTGTTCTTCTCTCTCTTTCACACTTTTTCTTTTTCTCGCATTCTGTCTCTATATCTTATCACTTCTTACTCTTTTATCTCTCTCCTCTCTCTCTCTCTCTCTCTCTCTCTCTCTCTCTCCCCCTCTGTATCTCTCAGACTGTCCATCTCCGTCTGTCTTTTTATCACTTCTCTCTTGCTCTCCTACCTCTGTCTGTCTCTACCTCTTTTCATCACTTCTCTTTCTGTCTTTCTCTCTCACTTTGTCTTTTTATCACTTCTCACGTTCTCTCCTATTTCTCTCAGTCTCACTCACTATCTTTCTTTCTTACTGTCTCTCTTCCTTTCTCTGTCTGTCTCTCTGTCCTCTGTCTCTTTTATTACTTCCCTTTTTCTCTCTCTGTCTCTCTCTCCCTTCCTGTCTCTCTATCTCTATCAGTTCTCGCTCTCTCTCTCTGTATCTCTCTCACTCACTATCTCTCACTCTCTTTTTCTCACTATCTGTCTTTCTGTCTGTCTCTCACTCTGTTTTTTTTCATCTCTCTCTCTCTCTCTCTCTCTCTCTCCCCTCTCCCTCTCTCCCTCTCTCTCTTTCTGTGTATGTGTCTCTTTCTCACTCTCTACCTCTTATCACTTGCTATCTCTCTCTCTCTCTCTCTCAGTAGGGCTGTGTTTCCTCATTTTCTCTGTAGTGATGACCTCACTGACGCTGGCTGACAGTCTGTCACCTCCTGAGGCTACCAGCCAGTCATCTGCCTCGTAGCACAGCCCTCAGGTCACCTAATTGCTCCATTTATTTGATTAGGAGGAAATATTCAAAGACTTCAGTTGTGTGGAGCGTCAAGAGGCTGCGCTTTCGATCAGAGAGGCAGCATTTAACTCCTCAGCGAGAGACCTTGAGGAAATGCACTTATCCTCATAATAATGACATTACAAAATCATTAGAGGTTAACAGTTCACCATAACAGTGATGTCAGCTGGCTAATGGGCATTGAAGCAGTACAGAAACTGTGTGTGTGTGTGTTTGTGCATATGTGTCTGTGTGTGCAGTTCAGAGCACCAGATGTGCAGAGCATTAGAGGTTTGTATCGATTGATTCTGTCTGCAGTAGCTTTCTACTCATGCTCTCTGACCGAGTCACTCACACTCACTCAGCTTTGTGTCAAAGGTTGTAGACACCTACTCATCCAACATCACTTCTGAAATCGAGGATATTAATAGGAAGTTTGTCCCCCTTTTCCTCTGCTCTTCTGGGAAAGCTTCATGCTAGATGTTGGAACATTGTGAGGATTTGATTGCATTCAGCTACAGCATTAGTGAGGTCAGTCACTGACGTTGGACAATTAGTTCTGATTAGATCACAATCCAGCTTATCCCAAAGATGCTCAGTGGTGCTCCATCACTCCAGAGAATGTGGTTCTGCTGCTCCACACCCAATAATGGGGAAATATGTACCCCTCCAGCCAGTTTTTGGCAGTGGGCATGATGACCTTAGGCAGCTGCTCCAGAACATCTCATTCTGTTCAGTGTTTTTCTAAGGAGATTGTACAAGCTGATTGTCCACAGTTGAACACCTGTGCCAGCAATGGATACACCTTAATGTAGCTAAGTTCACTAATTAGTGGGGGTATCCGGATGCTTTTGGACACATGATGAATGCATTAAAAATAGGCTTAAAATAGAAAGCTAATAAATAGCAAGCTATATAGGTGACCAAGGTAAACAACAGATCACTGTTCTTTTTAAAAATGCACCAACATGACAGTTGTGGGGCAATGCCACTATGTGATATTTTTAATTTGCATGTCTTTTGATAAGTAAACAATTTTTAAAAATGAGCAGCATCTAAACTTTCTGCTAGGGATGGCTGATATGGGAAAATATTACATCACAATACTTAGATGTTTTCACAATGTATTGACACAGAGCTAAATCTAATCAAACAGGACTACTTGCACATTTATTGCAAGGAAACATGCACTTGATCAGTGTTTTTGATACAAACACATTTTTGCTTTTCTTTTTTTTTTTCTGTTACCAATAGGATTCCAGTATCATTGTGCATTTCTAGTTGCTTCAGCTGTAGATGTCTTGTTATGTCGGTGTTGCTGGGTATGAAAGTATGCTTGAATTTAAAGTTACAGTGGCACAGAAGTGGCATATTGTTGGCAAATTGTTGCATATCTGACTGTAAAACCATTTCATTCTCTTACTGCCATGCATATCTGAGCTATTCGCATCTGTGCTATCAACACACCACACACATGCCGATAACACTGCAGATAATTATTTGCTTTTTTGATTCTGACATTTTATGTATAAGGTTTACTGAAGTATGTGTGTTTTTGTGTTGGAACAGGGGGCCACCATCAAAAGAGATGAAAGCACAGGGGCCATCGTAATAGCCCGCATCATGAGAGGAGGAGCAGCTGATAGAAGTGGTGAGTTTTTAGCTCTGACTGCTGATTCTGTCTCTATAAAGCTTCAGTAATGCTGTAATTGATGTTTTGATAGGTTCTCTTCTTGTGTTTACTGCTGATGAAAGGTTTCCATATTCCTGCCTCCTACTTGATTCCATGTTTTTCATTTTAATAATTTAAACTTCATAAATAACAAATGTTTATAATCACTTATGTTTAGACTTTATCCTTTGATTGTTATGCAAGCATTTAATCAGAAGTAAATTAGTTAAAAATGCCAAACGAATTCTGGTTAAAGTATAAAACTTTTTTTAATTAGGCTGTCAGTAATTTATAAAAGGTTTTTCCTTTTTTTCATCTTGCTTGTTTTAATTACAGTTAACTTAAATACATGTATTTAAAGTTCAGTTTGACATTCCTTAATGTAAGAAAGCAGTAAAAGCTCTCAAATAAGCAAAGGAATTGTAATTACTTTAAGAAGTGAAGGACAGTCTTTAACAAATGAAGACAAATTACTAGGAACTTTGGAAATGTGTGCTACTGCTGTGGCCAAGCCATGGCCCTCACGAGGACTGAATGAGGTCAGGCAAGCCAAAGGTGACCTCAGAACCGAAGAGCAAGTTATGTAGAGTCTGCGGAACTAGCGGTTAATTGCCCCTGAAATACAAGACCTGCTAAATGCTACTAGGCGCGCAGACGTTTTAGCATCAACTGTTCAGAAGAGCCTTCATGAAGCTGGCCTAACTGGAAGAATTGCTAGAATGTTCTCTGCAAAGAAACCACTGTTAAAGTGAAGGAGTTTTGCTTGAGCTTAAAACACTCAGAAGTTGGATCTTTGAACTGTGAAAGAAACTTTCAAAATCTGGTTTTGAATTAAGGCAACTGCACACTGGATGCACCGCGTTGTGCCACACAGAATGCCCGGCAGGAAGAACTGATAAAAGCTAGTTTCAAGTTAATTATAAATAAAATGTTCATCATCACGCTTGGCATTAGTTTACTACCTCTCCCCAAACTGGCTATTTTTGTGCTGAAAGATGAGCCAAAAAATGTTAAGATAGTAATGTTAGCTGAGGTAACTTACCATTAACATTAGTCTGTTTATCAGAAAGACTGACTGCCTTTCTCTCTCTGTAGGTTTCAAACCGCATGTGATCTACTGTGGATTTATATGGCCTCAGTAGGACTTTAATTTAATGTGGTAATGGCAGAATGGTGCGTGTCGTGCTGTGATGTGCTAAAAAATCAAACAGCACCTAGAGTCATGGAGCACCAGCAATTGCGTCAGTGCTCCATGTTGGCCCTGGTTTGTGCACCTTCATTAAAAACAATGGTTTTGAATTTTTAGACGCTTCATGACACGGCACATTAAGTGTGCGGTGGACTTTACAGAAGGCAGTTGTGCATGCCCGGCATGTAAAGATGCTGATGCATCGCCAGATACGCACAAGTAAAATATCAGGTATCGACATCGCATTCCCATATCGGTGCATCCCTATATTCTGTGTCTTTTTTCCCTTTTTTGGGTTGGAATTTATGTTGACATCTGCAAGAAGTTCCTTGTACATCTTGTGCTTGACAAATAAAAAATGTGATTATATATATTTATATATATTATATAATTTATATACTTATATTTTACTTTTTTCTCTCCTTTCCTCTCTTCTGCCCTTTTCTTGCTTTGTTCTGTTTTACTTCACTCTCATCTCCTCCTCAGGCCTGATCCATGTGGGAGATGAGCTGAAAGAGGTCAACGGTATCCCCGTGGATGACAAGAAACCAGAGGATATCATTCGCATTCTGGTGTGTGTGTGTGTGTGTGTGTGTGTGTGTGTGTGTGTGTGTGTATGTATGTGTGAGAGAACGTGTGTGTGCACTTGTGTTTGTTTCAGTGAGACGGCAAGTGAAGCACAAATGTATATTATGTATATGACATGTTTGAGGATACTTTGTGTGACTCCAGCCTGTGGGTTCTGTGCTTATTACACCTGCTTGGGTGGTGAAGTAATGCCTGTATTCTGTGTTTTTGTGTGCAGGCCCAGTCTCAGGGTGCCATCACATTTAAAGTGGTGCCAGGCATACAGGACGAAGGCCTAGCCAAGGAGCCGAAGGTACGTGTCAAGACTCTGTCTAAACTCTGTCTCTGTGTGTGTGTGTGTGTGTGTGTGTGTGTGTGTGTGTTCAGTGTGGGACAATGCATGGCAAAGTGTTTCATACAGTGAGCTCAAATACCACGACTTAAACTGATGATGTTGTGCATGCATGTGCATACAGGGGTGGCTGGTAGCTTAGAGGTAGGATAGGTGAGGCAGCAACCAGGTTACATGTTCAGTTCTCTGGACTGACTGGGTATTTCTGGTTGTCCCTAGTGCTCCAAGTGATACTGTGCTGCTACCAGAGTGGGGAAAAGTATAAGTTTACCTTAACAAAAGCTTGAAAGCAACTAATTTTGCTCAAATAATAGTAATAATGAAATCAAATAGCAGTAATAATGTACAACTGACTCTTAATAGACCCCTGAAATCATGTCATTTTTGTAGACACTGACATGCCCATGTAAGGAACTCTGGGTCTGAGCCTTTAGGAATATGAGGAAAATGTACGTATGATATCAGTTTATCATATCCGTTTACCACAGGATGCGATAGCAGCAATTTTCAAAAACAGCATTCATTTTACCCATTTTACCAGAAAAACACTTGTGGAGTTCCTTATATGGGTGTGCCACCAAATATAAAATGACAGACGACTTCAGAGGTCTGTTAGTTTGCTTCTGGTGATTCTTCTGCAGAGTTTAATTAAAGCTCTTCTTATTTCCATCTGATTCTCACACTTCGACTTGGTGAACTGTATCAGATGTGTTACATTAGCAGTTTGTAAATAATTCAAAACTGCTAAATGTAGACTGAGACTGTTATCAACAAAGAATGTGAAGCTTTTCCCCAAGCTTCTTTGGTTAAACTAGACTAAACATATCGCTGTTGTCAGAAGAAGACCTTGTATCTCTGAAATGATAACTTTACAGGAGAAGAAAAAAAACCTACTTTACTTTTGATGTAAGTCAGTGGAACCAGACTTTTTTCCATGTCATTTTGGGCCGTTTGTTTTGGTTATCATGAAATTTGCACAATATCAAGGACAACAGGCATTTTTAAATTATGACAAAAACTGAAAAGGAGATACGAGGTTTTGTCCCGACAGCAGCGATATGTTGTACTGGCTATTGTAGAATTTTGTAAGTGTCATTCTCCATTTGGAGTGGGAATTCAGGTGGATACATTTTTAAAAAATCTGTTTCTTTCATTACGTCCATTAACATCTCCTATTATCATATATGCAAAAAGGAGAGCTTAAATGAATGTTGTGTAACACCAGTGACTGTGATACCAGTGACATTCTGGTTAAAACTGAGGATTTTGTAAATTGGCTGACTCAATGTGGTCGGATGACCTTGTGCAACTATTTAAAATCAGTAATAAAAATGATACAGGGCATTATTTTGATGAGTTGAATTACTCAGCCATTAAAGCTCATAACACCGGTGACACATCGAAGTTATGTGCTGCTTGATTAATAAAACGACTCATAAATTAATGAAAAATAGTGAGCAAGTGTGACTCGCCTTCTCATGCCTTTGGATGCTTCCTCTCTGATGAGCCTCGACCCAAAGAAGCAGTTTAATAGAGCGGAAAATGCTCTGTTAAAATGTAACAAAAGAGTCCTGATGACACCAAATGATTTATTAAATAACGTACTTTTAAATGTAGTATAATGTTAATAATATAAAAAGGTAAACATGAATCTGTTTTATACAAATCCCTAAGGTAAATCTCTTAAAATGATTGTTTTGTATTAAAAATGTTTTTTCAATTGTTGAAAATGTGACGAGGTGTTTAACATATGGAGAGCCACTATGAAACAGGATAAAGAAGGAAAAATCATAAGGGAAAAGTATTGTTTATTTAGCCCTGCAACCTTTGTGACGTGGTTTCTTATTCCAAATGGAGAATGACCCATAAGAGTTTTTAAACTACTGAAATGTAAATGTGGTCTATTGTATGTGGATGTGGGTTGCTCTACTTGATCTTGATGTTTTTCTCTTATTTGGGTTGTACAAGAGCTATGCAATTGAGAACTGGTACATTTTTTTTTAATGGATGTTCATCTCGGGCTCTGTTGATCCATGCTGAACCGCTCTGCTTATGCCCAGCTCGTAAACTGATTGTGTGTGAATCTTTCAGACTGTGTGTGTGTGTGTGTGTATGTGTGTATGTGTGTATGCGTGTGTGTGTGTGTGTGTGTGTGTGTGTGTGTGTGTGTGTGTGTGTGTTACTGCTTTCTGAAATTTGTGTAAGTCACTGGTTGTATTCTTTAACCTAATATGATGATTTTGATTTGTTCCACTCCTGAATTGAGTGTATCTGTGTGTGTCTGTGTGTGTCTGTGTGTGTGTGTGTGTGTCAGTCCTCCGGCAACCATAGTTTACTGTTTTCCGTGTGTATAATGAATGTGGTGAAGTGCTGCTAATTGGCTGCACATGTGTGAGCAGGATAAAGAATGATGTACTGAGAGAAGAAAATGAGAGAAAGAGAGAGAGAGTGAGTGAGTGTAGGAGTGTTCCCTCAGGATGTATCAGTGTATGTTTGTAGGCGAAGATCAGATCCAAACAGAACGTTCTCTGCTGTAACATAATTTCTCTACATGGCACAAACGCCGCACTAAATCAACACAAGCCACCGGGTTATGGGCTTCTGCACTCTCTCCGCCATCTCTCTCTCTTTCTGTCTGTCTGTCTGTCTGTCTGTCTGTCTGTCTGTCTCTCTATTTCTGTCTATTTTTCTTTCTCTGATTTTTGGAGTGAAAAAAGGTAAACACAATCTCCAGCGGAATTTAAAGCATTTTCTGCAAAGTACTGCACAGTTACTTTATATTTGATTAACTTAAAACAGAAGAAAAAACAGAACAAATATTAATTGTGACATGCACAAAGCTCGAACGGTTGGATATTGTTCTACTTGTAAAGTTGTAGTTGTAATTGTAAACTTCATTAACTGTTTTAAGCTTCAACTGATTCGTCAAGACTGGTTAGGCAGTCTTTCCAAAATTGTGAATTATCAGTACCACATTCATTATACACATGGACATAAGAAGTTCTTTGACTCATCAAACCAAATGTGCTAGCTCAATGCCTACAACGCAATCAAAGTTTATAAAAAGATAATAAAATACGTCAAGTTCACATCTTGGGAATTGGGTATTGGGAAAAAATTTAAAATACAATGTAAAATGTGATATAACTTCTGCACAGGCCACATTCATCCCTCCCTACCTTCTTATTTCTACTTAGAAAATCAATAAAACATGTAATTTATACTTATAATTGAATTATATATACTATATTATATATACTTATAATTGTATTATGTATATACAGTTGCTCTGTTTTATGTCTTTATGCTTCCAGATAATAAACACTGTAACTCTCTGACCTTTTGATTGCAAATCTTTAGGAAATTATTTAGTGCATCTTGTAATCTCATATTTCATTTTCGTCACTTCCTGTATTTTAACACAGTAGTTTAATGTAAACATGAAAAATAATACACAATATTACGCAAGCATTTTTCTTTTCTTTTTTCAGTTGATACTTTTTGAAACAGTCAGTGAATTTTCTTTTGACCAAAAAGCGAGATCTGACTTTACTGAATATTATTATAATCAATTATAGAGTCAGTGCAGCTGTATTGACACCTTCAGATCAGTGCATCATGATAGATGGACACATTTTTACACACTTACGCAATATTTGTGTCTTTCATATATCGTAGGTGTATCTGAGGGCTCTGTTTGACTATAACCCGGAGGAGGATAAGGCTATTCCCTGTAGAGAGGCAGGTCTGGCCTTTAGGAGAGGGGATGTGCTGCAGGTTGTGTGTCAGGATGATGCCACATGGTGGCAGGCCAAACATGAAGGAGACACCAACCCCCGCGCCGGCCTCATCCCGTCCAAACACTTCCAGGAGAGGTGAGCTTCTACTGTCCTCCTGGAGAACTGACCACTGTGCTCTGTTCTCTCCGTCTCTGTCTCTTTCTCTTATTCACGTTCTCTCTCTCTCTCTCATTCATGCTCTCTTTCTCTCTCTATCTCTCTCTCTCTCTCTCTCTCTCTCTCCCTCATTTCTTTCTCTTCTTGTGTCTGTTACTCTGTTTTACTCACTACTATGAAAGGAATGACTTTTCTGCCTTTTGTTCCTTTTTTATGCTTTAGAGCCCCCCCCCTCTCTCTCTCTCCCCCTCTCTCCCTCTCCCTCTCTCTCCCCCTCTCTCCCTCTCCCTCCCTCTCTCTCTCTCTCTCTCTCTCTCTCTCTCTCTCTCTCTCTCTCTCTCTCTCTCTCTCTCTTCTCTCTCTCTCTCTCTCCCTCTCCCTCCCTCTCTCTCTCTCTCTCTCTCTCTCTCTCTCTCTCCCCCTCCCTCCTTCCTCTCTCTCTTTGTGTGTGAGGGCCTGGTCGCTCTGCCAAAATACTTTGGATTTCCGTGGCTGTCTGGCCTGGGATGAGTAATGACAGAAAATGATAGCACTGGTTCGCATCCACTTTGGACGCTCCGCGCATGGAAAATCGCACATCAGTGATGCTCTGCGCAAAGTGGACTCTGACGTGTGTGTGTGTGTGGATGGCTTCTGTAAGCAGGGCAGTTTCTTGGGCACTGTTCTTCTTCAGAAAAAAAAACATAAGAAGAAAGATTTTAAAGGCTTTCAAATACAGTAGCAAGAAGCAGTGTTTCTCTCTCTCTCTCTCTCTCTCTCTCTCTCTCTCTCTCTCTCTCTCTCTCTCTCGCTCTCTTTCAAGCATATTTGAGCTGGTCACTGTGCATCATTGCTAAGGGTGTTTAGTAATCCCAGTGCAGTCGTGAAAACTGATGGCTTTATTGGATCTCTATCTGTCTCTCTGTCTCTCTCTTTCTCTGTGTGTCTCTTTCTCACTCTCACTCTTTCTCCGCTATCAGGAGGCTTGCTCTCAGACGACCCATGACCATCACTCAGCCTCAGAAAATCTCCAGAAAACCATGTAAGTGTCCAGTGCTATAAACACACACACACACACCCACATACAAAAAGATTTTAGAAGTGCTTTTATCTTATCATGATTCTGACACCTTATAATATCAGACCTCACACACACTTCTCTACAGTGACATGCACACCTAGGAGTGGGCAGTATGGCAGAACATCATGTTGATCTAAGATATTTTCTTAGTAAACAATATGCCTTACAATAGTTGTTTTATTTCTGCCACATTTAAACCTTTATTTACTTTTATGTAAGCTTGGGAAATCCTCATTTTCAGTATTGCTCAGTACCACACAGAGATTAAGAAGACAAGAATAAAATGTTTCCAGATATTAATAGTGTAGGAAGTAGGCTAGTAAAACTCTAAAGCTGAGTGATCAACAGGAAGATAAGACAACTGAACAGGTCTTGAAATACAGCATAAAACAGTTGAAAAATAGTCACCCTTGTATGGTGTTGACCCATCACATTATTGTTTTTTTTTTTTTTAAATCAATACAGCTATAACAGTTTGTGGCCAGTTTGTGTTCTCCTTTAGCAGCTGTAGCCAGTTAGCAGCCTGTCTATGTTGCCCAGCCTCACACATAGAGAGAGACACACACACACACTTAACAGCGGGCCATGTAGGAGGAGAACAGAGTGAAGGGACACAGCACCTCCGCACTTTTATTCCCCACAGGTTCACCCAACACCACGTGTAATATAAATGTGTAGGGGGTGAACAGTGTGAAGCCAATCCAAATTTGTTATTTTATATGTTCTTCACAGAAAATGAGCAAAGGCCAAGGAATCTGAGGGTGAAATAATAATAAATCGCATCATTTTTTTCTTTCGGTGAACACTGAAAATGGATCCATAGACCCGAACACCTCAAGGGTTAAAAACAGATTCCAAACAAGCCCCAAAAAGCAGCTAAACTTGTAGTGAGCTAAAACAGTTACAAGCCAGACGCAAGTAATCCACAAATAAAAGTTTAAAACCCGAACAGAGATTCAGCTTTAGAGTGTCTTTTACCATATACCGCTAGAAGCACATTTACCCAGATCAGTAAAAGCTTGCAGGACCTGAAGTGGAATAAGGGTACTTGAGCAGGTGTGGTAGAGTTTTTTATTTGCAGTGGGCTCTGCGTCCTCAATTGCTGGTCCATATAAGGACCGTGATGCAGTGGGGTGCCCCATTTCTGACACTCACATGCACCCACTATGCATCATTGTTGTTGCTTTTGGTACTCAAAATTTCATTCCAGACTAGGACCACTCAGCGTAGAAGGGTGTGTTTGCAGCTGTCTGACTTACACAGCAGAGCGTAACATATTCAGATGTGAGGTGAAATGCATTTGTTTGTTCATTTAACATAATTTATGTTGATTTCCTGTAGATAAGCAAATGACACCATCTCGCTGGATAGCACACATGCACACTTTCAAACCTAGAGAGCGCAATCTCTGTTACCCTTCATGTCTGCACATTATTGATGTCACCAAGGTGTGGACTTTGAGGAAGTCCTCAGGGCTTGAAGTCCCTTTTGTGACCGGTCCAGAGAGCATGGATATGATAAACGTTATAAGAATATGATGAATTATGAGTACACTGATTTTTGTTTTTTGGGTTTTTTTTCCACCCCTACTAGTGCGTATTAGTACATTCAGATAAACAGGACCATTGGAGCTCTCTTGGGCTCCTGACATTGTTGAAATTTGAGCACTCTATCTCCTGATAATTGTGTAAAACCTTGAAGACTACTCAGATGCCTCTTATAAATTTAATTGGACCTTCTTTTAATGAAACATCTTTCACTTTATTTGTTTAGTCAACATAAATCAACATCATTATTTCAGTTGTGAAAGTTAAGGTGTGAAAATATGCTCAGAAAAGCTTACCATGAAGTGTTATCGTGATATCAGATCATCATATTGCCCTCCGCTATGCTTACCATTATGCTCATTAATGCAAGTGACTGCAGATCTCTGCTTTTAGTCTGCCTTCACTGTCTGCAGTTCTGCACTCGTTTATTTAAGATTTAGTTGTATTTGGCAAAATAAGTGCAGATATTTGTTACCTGGTATGAACAGCAAATGTGCAAAGCACATGGAAGTGTATGGAAAAAGAAGAGAATAGAGAGAAAGATGGAGAGCAATTAAGAGGAAATGAGCTTCAAAGGGGGCCCATCAACTTCTGATTGGTACCATACACGTGTCCTCATACATATCTATATTTGAGCTACTCTCCACCCTTTGTTGCCTCTTGTCTTTGTGTTTCTCTAAACATGTTGTGAGCTGGTAAACACAGAAGTGTACTTACTGTTCACCATGACACAAAGAAAAGCACACACAGGGATATACAAAGAGCAAGTCTACAAGTCTGACTGCATCTGTCATTTCACTCTCATACACACACAAAGTTCCTCTTGGATGTCTATATTAGGGATGTGCATTCTGATTCATTTTAATATTTGAGTAATAAATAGATGTCTAGTTAACTGCAAGACAAAGTGATGACAAAAAGGGAAAAAAGTACGTTGGCCAAAGTTAGATTAGGGCTGTTTTTTGGGTGATAGCACTGGTGTTTGGAGGATAAAAAATAAACGTGTCATCATTCAAAAATAGCCAAAGGAAATTGATTAATTAATGAGCAAACACGGCTAGACAGTGCAACATTTGGTACTGATGGAGAGTCGTTGTCTTCTCCAAGTGGTGTATTATCTCCTCAGTGGGTGATGTGCCAACATGTTCATTTGTCAGAGAAGTATGTTCACTGTTTCTAGACCTACCTAATATCAGACAGAGTAGCAGCTTCCCTAGTAGATTCCCTAGTAAGTAAAAAATCTGCACTAAAGCACTGAGTTCTGTCTTCCAACTCAACAACACATCCTTGGCAACATGCTCACAGTAAGGCACTCATGTTTCTAAATAGCAAAGTACAATATAATACACTCACAAATGCAAGCAGAGCTGTCATATTTTACAGTCCTGTTATGACATTGCTGAATTGTTAGCTTGCATATTTTCTCTGCCTTCCTGTGATGACATACAACAAATACCCAAATTGTGATTCTTAGTATTCAAGAACTGGCACCTCTAACAGTTAACTGACCACTCAAGTACCTGCACACATCACTACAGTATACACTACTGTGCCCAAGTCAGAGACCATCCTTCACTTATTTCTTTTGAAGTCAAAATTCCAGTTTTTTTAGGAGATATTTATTTTTTTAGAGTCCACCAGACCTAAAGCTTCCATTTTTGAGAGATAAGACAAAATCAACTTCCACTTTTGCTTCAGAGGTGAAAAAAAATAAATCCACAGGTGTTTCTGTCCGAGGAGACAGTTTAGCGCTATGAGTCTGAAAGGATGTGTAGCTGTCAAGAAGCTCTTACTAAGAAAAGAAAGTAGACAAAAGTAGAAAATTTGCAGTCAAAGAAAGACATTGCTGGTGTTCTCTGAACAATGGACTGGTCACCCAGTCCAGACCTCAACATCTTTGAATGTATTTGTATCGTGATATGCAGAAAATGCTTCTAAGACTGAACATTGTGAAGGTGTGCAAATCAGTGCTCGTTGTAGAGACAAAAGGCAGAAGACATTTTCTTACCTGACATAAAATAAATAAACAATATAAACAAAAGAGAAATATCTATATAAAAGAAAACAAAAATCTAAACTATAAAGGCTACATATCAGTATTAAATTAACTGAGCATTACACATTAATTAAAATTACAGTCTGATCTTGTGTTTATACATAAAGTTTGTCTCTTACCTTTTGGCTCTAATGGGTTTGAGAAGATTTTATAATGTGGCTCAATCACTCCCAGCAAACTGCAGAACCTGTAACTGAATAGAAGTGGAATCTACAACTGAATCTAGAACTGCAAATCAGTAGCTGTTAACATCCCTACGGAGCAAGTTATTTGTTTCGCCTTTTCGGAATCGGCTGATAGTGGCTGCTTGAATCCTGTGGGGAGTAGTAGCTGCTGAGACTTGTGTTTTCTCCACGATGCTGAAGTTGGCTTTCTATTCGCCAGTTTCCTACTAAAATTTTCCATTCCACCTCAAATGGAGCAGCCATACCATGTAACTACTGCTCCATTTAAGGTGGAACAGAATTTTTTTTGCATTTTTATTCCAGTTTATTCCAGTTCCTGTATATATTTGTGTGTATATATATATATATATATATATATTATATATATATATATATCTATATATATATATATATAAAATATATATATATATATCTATATATATATCTATATATATATATATATAAATATAAATAAAAGCATTTAACATGAGTATTGTGACACCACAGATTTTGACTGGAAATTAAGTGAGAGGTGGTCTCTGACTTTAGCACAGTACTGTACACATATACACACAGCGTAATTCTCTCTATTTGGTTGTGTCATAATGCTTAAATGTCTAAAGGCCTCCTTTCTCTGTGTGTTTAGGTCATCATCCTTAACCATCCACACATACACTGTTGAAAGCTATAGTTCCCATGAAGCACTTTTAAATGCCCTGAACTTGACCTTAATTCACACCTCCACCTTTTCCATTTGTTACATCCCTCCATCACACACTCCAAACAAAGGCCGTGAGGAAAAACTCACATGTGTGTGATGGAGGCATTAATTTTGATGATGACTTTTCCAGGACCACCCTGAGGTGCGATTGAGAATGCAGTCTAAGTCCCTGTCTGCAGTGTATTTCGCATAAAACCATGAGCGCAACTAATACAGTAATCACAGCGCCATTTCATATGATACACGGAACATCAGTGTGTATGTCTGGGTGAGTGTGTGCATAACATTTTCCGGATCATGGCAAACAACAGTCATGTGAGGAGATGTAAAGTTGAGAGGGACAGAGAGGGCTAATGGGGACTGACTCTGGCCTGACCAGAGGCAGACCGTAAATGAGACAGATCCAACCTGGAACCCTGAGCCGGACACTCAGCTGCGGAAACTTCCACAGAAACGTGTGTGTCTGTGTGTGT